AGACCCCGCTCCCAGCTCTGCCGCGCCCACGTCAGTGCTGGGAGCAGGGACTCTGCCCTGCTGCCGCTTACCAGACGGCATAAGAACTGCTGCCACTTGCCCACCCAGTGCGGAGGGGGTGGCGTGGGGGGCGGGCACTGCCGCTGCAGCTCTGGGAGGGAGGGCTATGCCCTACTGCTGCTTGCTCCCTTCTGCCCGGGGGGCGGAGGGGGAAGACCAGAGCTGCTGGCCTCACTCTCCCACTCCATCCCCTCAGTCCCTGCTGTCATGGAGGTGTTCCACCATGTGTGTCTGTCTGTGCAGAACACTCTGGTTGTTTCAGTCAGCATTGTGATTGGATGTCAAGACAACCAATTGGAGTGCTCAAAAAGTGTTATGGACAGACAGACAGATGGACAGACTAAGGATTTTGTTATACTAGAATGCCAGATATAAATAATGGGTGTAAATAGTGGGAGGGAGGTGACTTTGGGAAACCTCAGCAAATTCAAGACAAGTGCTGCCAGTCTGCATGCCACTTTCCTTTTCTCTCCTGCATCCCTCCAGCTGGTACAAATAAGAATCTATATTGTGCTGTTGCAGGTAGCTAAACAGACACTGAGATAAGTGCTTGTGCTTTAAGGTATAAACAATAAAAGTTTGGGATGTAGACCTGTCTCTTGACCCTTTATTTGACTTGCATGGTAGTGATACCTTATCTAAGAGAGAATGGTGGATCACTGGAAAGTGTAATTGTATCTTGATTTGGTGTAAAAAAATAAATAAACAAATAAAAAAAAAAGGGCAATCATTAAGGAAATTGTAACTATTCCTTAATTCTGTGTGTAAACTTGCAAAGAGGTCCTGATCATAGATGGACTGTAGTCTTGTTTCTCTAAAGAATGAGTGGTCCTGTTTTTGTTTTTTTTATAACAGTACCACTCTGTCCTTCTATACACCCCAGCCCAGACTGGGCCCCCCTTCTTTCTAAAGGCTAATGTGACAAGCTTATGTGACAAGCTTATTTTATAGAAACAAACCAAAGGAGAGGGATGGAAAAGGTGAGAGAGCATATTGTTTAATGAAGGATGACCCACAGAGCACACAATTTTCATTATACCAGGGGTGGGAAAAGCCTGGCCCATGGGCCGGATCAGGCCTGTGGTGGACTCAATTTCCCAGCAGCCCCTGCCTGCATTGCTGTGTCCGGTTTCCATGGAAAACCCAGGAGTGGCAGTGCCGTAACAGTGTGGGGCCAGGGTTTCCATGCAGCGTTGGCAGGGCATGTAGCTGGGTAGGGAACTGCTTCAGGGCTGGGATTTTGTGGTGGCGACAGCATAATCTGGAGCTGGGGCAGAGCTGTGATCTGATGCCCGCACGCTCTGGGTAGGGGCACGGAGGCAGCGGATTGCAGCTCTCCCTCAGCTCTGGACCACGTTGTCACCACTGCAAGATCCCAGCTCTGGTCCCAGACCAGCTCCCTGCCCAGCCATGTGCCCTGCCAGCCCTGCTGGGGCCAGTATGTCAGAGCACCACCACTTCTGAGATCTCCATGGAAACCAGTCGCAGTGATGAGGGCAAGGGCTGCTGGGAAATGGAGTCCAGCTGCCAGCTGGATCCACCATTTTGCCCACTCCTGCACTGTGCTGCTGTGAAGAAATCATCTCATCAAGAGCCATTAAAAAAAAAATGTAAAAAAAATCAGGATTGCACAATGCTAAATCAAGCTTTATGATTTACCAGGAACAAGACAGATACCAAAGACATATTTCACTTTTATTGTAACATAAACAATTGACCATTAAGATATAGACAACTATAACAACTGTTTTGATATCAAATTATGCCAATATGTTATGATGCAATGGATATATCTGCATGTTTCTGTAGTGAAACAAGTGTAGCAAAACCACGGCAAACCTGTTTCATTCAGGTTTAAAGTTATGGCAATTTAGCGAACTTTCTATGCTATAGTGTGGCATGAACTGAACTAATGTAGCTAATGTTAACATAGAGTGTAATAATAGTAAAATATAACCATGTTAGTCTTGTCCTATAAGCAACTTGAAAACTCCATTTTGTATCCTTCTGCTTGACATAAGTGAATGAACTCTGCATAGCCTTTATGTATGAGTGTGTGTAAAAGGGTGAATGGTGAAAGAATGGCATAGAGACGGGAGAAGATTTAACTGTTTATGTAAGCAACAAGGCGCCAAATGTAAGTTACCAGCCAGTAACTAACTAACAAACGGCTGGAGAATCCCTTTGAAGCTCGAGGGCACAAAGGAGATAACAGAAAAAGAAATTCTGCCAGACGGGCAACAAGAACACTCCAATGCTAAGATAAGCTAAAGACAAAAGAAGAACCGCAAAAACAGAAACTGGGTATGGAAAAACCCCAAAGCACTGAAACAAAGGATGCCAATCTCTATAAAAGAACACTTTGAAAATGCCAAGTTGGGTGAGTCTCTTTCTCTACTGCTGTTTCATCAGAGCACAGGTGCATCTGTTCACCCTGCTCCAGCTGTTATCTTCAAATCTGCTATCTTCAAATCATCATCTACTCAATAAGCCCGGGTTGGCCACCCTGGGCTGATACTGAGCAACTATTGCTGGTAACTATATCTGGTGTATGTGTGGATGAAATGGTTGTCTTGTGTATGTGTAAGCCTGTGTGTAACGATGTGTATGAGTTGTGTCTGTTTGTATAAATGGTGTGCCCGAACCTCTATGTCTAACTCATGTAATCAATAAATGTGACACCTTGCCTTATCCCCCTTTATAAAGTCTCACTTGTGATTTGAGCAATTGGCAATTTGTGTAACAACAGAACCACAGAGATATAATAGTTACATTGTAACAGCTGATAAGCACTCCAAAGTGGCAGTTCCCCATTCCCTTCCAACACCATTAAGAAGCAAGTTTGTCCATGGCCTTAGTGCTTGGTGTGAAATATCTGATTATGCACATTATTTTTTAACCTTCAAGAGACATCAAAGTATTATTTAAATCTTACCTGCTGTGTTCACTATTCTGTTTGCTCGAATTACTCCCAATGGAGTTTCAACTTCCCATGTCCCATCTGATCTAGAGTTTAGATTAGTCACTTGAACCGGGTAATTTAACAAGGCACCATATTTCCTAGCTCCTGCAGCCAAGGCCATAGTGAGAGAATAGGGATCAATGTGACCATCTCCAGGGTTATACAGACCAGCTAAAACCTATTATGGGTCACACAAAATGAATTCAAATTAAATTTGCAGTTTTCACCTTATTTAAGATTAAAGTGAATAACTGTTGTGTCTCATCTGTAAAGACTTAAATGAAAAATACATTTAAAAAGTGCAAAATATCATCAAAGCTACATCTGGTCAATTCTGTAACTATTCTATGGAATGGAGATTTTCCAGTACCACCATGTGTCTGTGATCAAAGAGATAAGATGCCATTGCTAAAAATTTTTAAAACCACTGAATGAAAAGACTATGTTAAATGTATGCTGAAAGTGTTATAAAAGGTTTCAAACAATTAACCATTAGGAATAATAATCAGATTTCCTTAACTGCCATACATTAACATGAATATTAACATTTCTTATTCTAGTAAATCTATGACAGTTGCAAAAAATTAACTATTTCTTAAAACTTAAAATAATGGTTGTGATTACCTCCACGTGTGGAAAACATGTGGGAGAGACCCAATAGAAGGACATCCTTGCAAAGTTCCCCATGGATAGCTCCATCAGGAAAAAGATTATATTTTTCCAGCAGAACTAGCTAAAGCTCTGCACAAAAATTCTAGGGATCACCTCTTTTGATAGATATCTGGAACCTGATGTTTATTACACTGCCAGAATAGGAACTCTTCACCAATATTTAAATCTCAAGAAAAGATGTTTCCATATAATAAGATTCTCTACCTTTTCCATGTTCAGTAAAGGACACAGCTCTTGTACTTTCTCGGGCCCAATAAAATACTGTTCTGTTGCATGCCAGCCAGCACGAGTCATTTGATATTTGAACTCATCAACTCTAGTAGGAGTTGAAGCAATTCTGATGCTGCCTGGATCATGAAAGCCCACAGCCTAAAACATTGATAACAAAAGAAAGTAGTTTACAATTAGGACTATGGTTCATCTTTCCCTAAAGGTCTGATTCTGCACCAGTGAAGCCGACAGGAGTTTTGCCATTAACCTTTTCTCAACACAGAATCAAGCTCTAACTGCTTTCAGAGTTTCAGGCCCCAGCTGAAGACTTCTGGGGTAGAGAAGAACAACTTGCTAATAAATGAAATCTTAACTAAACCAAGCAAACACAATATTGAAATGCACACTACCGTGTTTAAAGCACATCTTTGTTTTTTTTTTTGTTTTTCAGTGTTCTTTATTAATTGTATTCACTACATTTGATTAATCTTCTGACTTTGTAAATAGAATCCACATTTATATGGTTTCAAAAGTAGTTCAGACATATTTTATATATAAAATCCTCCTCTGAATGTCAGCAATGTGAACATTTAAGATATTGCAAAACAGACCTCATGTAATTAACAGACTACCCATCTTTACTGGCAAAATACAGGATTTTTAAACATATATAAATTGTACCAGCTGGACAGTGCATCCTCACATTAATGACTATGGCCCAATAACTCCATCCCTCTGCATAAAGAGTTCTTTGTCTAGTTATTCCGTTAAGAAACAGAACTAACTCCATTGCAGAACAGGTTGACAGACCAGTGGGAAATTACACAAATCTACAAGGAGACACTGTGTCCCTGCAGTGAATAGCCCTGGTAGTCCTTTCTATTTGCTTACAGTAATGTTACAATGGAGATGCACTAGCAAAGGTTCCTTAACTGGTGACTCTCAAAGAAATTTTTTTCCTTTAAGGAAAAGAAGAAGCTGTAGAAATTCACCGCAACATGGAGGAATATTAAATTTCAGAAAGAATCTCTAGGGCGCTAGTACAAAACCAATAAATGTCCCTTCAGCCTCAATCCTAACCTGCCCATTCCTCAGCTCCTCCACATAGCTCCAATCACTTTGCCAGTAGAACCTTCATAGAACACAAGGCAATGGAAGCAGTCACTTCTGTAAAAGAAAATGACCCTCTTTTCTGTTCGAGAGAGGTGCAGTGCTGGTGTGTAGGATCCTCAATTTAGATAGATCATGGAGGCATCATAAGTCCATGTAAATAAGGAGAGCTATGCTTCACTACTTTTCACAAAATTAGTGATCAACCAAACACAGTAAAATGGAATAGCACTGAATCACAATACATTCTTTGCTCACATATTTTGTTGAATAGTTTCAGTGATTTGTAGGTGAATTCCTCATAGTTTATGAGTGAACACACTGCTCTGTGTTTTATAATGGATGTTTTCCTTTCCTAAAGCATTTGGCTACAGAATTAATCTTGCTGGAAAGTAAAGTGAGGCAACAGGCTATCATGTGAAAATTAACAATTTGAAGATTAACCATGTGAGGATCATTATTGAGTTCAAATTGCATGTCCAATAGTGCTGATTAGAATAAATGATTTCATGTTAGTCACCAAACAGAAGGGCTCCTCCGAAATGGATAGGAAGGAGTGCAAATGTATTTTCAAGCATGGACCACGTTAAATCATCCGAATTCTCAAGCAGATATATTAAAGCTGGGAATGGGTACTTGTCAGCTTACATGATCTGGATCCTGAATACTATTTTTACTCATGGAAAGCTGATGCTGCAGAGACTCTTATTGCTTAATTTTTTAGATGTTTTATTTTGAAAAAATAAGCAGTAGTAAGAATGAGGTGGGGAGAGCTAAATTCTTCAGGATTAAATACTAGAATATGAATGTAGCATAGATATAAAAAGAACAGAATTACTTTGGATAAAGTAACCCCTTAAGATATGAGAACCTCTGTTACACCCATAGAGGCATGCATGCACGTAGATACACATATACAGCTTTTTCATTCCAAATGTTTCCATATGGTTCTTAGCACAATTAATATTGATCTGTAAAAATATTTTCAATATAGATGTATGAATATTAAGGAGTTTACCTGCTCAGTCTCTTCTTCCAGTGTTTCATAGAGTTTGATGCTGTAGTGATGGATTTTCTTCAGATTTATTCCAGGATGAAAATAAGTTGTTAAACCAGCCTTGAAAAATAAACAAAAACAATAACACAATTTGACATTTTTAGAAATGTAATCTTTTCTCTCTTTTTTTTCCAGTTGTCATTTGAAACAGAACTGCCCCTCCAATGTAAAGAAAAGCAACATATCGTTATAGCCAACTTAAAAAAAAACAACCCTTTCCTGGATTACATACATTCCCTTTCCATGGACAGATGTTTTTCCACCTGTCTGTTTTCATCATTATTGTCAAATCACAGTACCCTCATTACAGCTGTTCTCTCCTACAGTTTCATTTTTTTAGATCATTTTTCTATCTAAATATTTTGGAAGACAAAATACTAAGGACACAACCATCTGATGTCTTAAGATCTTAGGTATTCTTTACAAGAATGGAGATATTCACCAACGTATCCTGGCCAAATGTTAATAAGTAATACATCTTGGCAGTTTACATGGGAATGTATTCTTTGCTTTCTTTCTTAAATGCTGCTGTTAAACAATTTGGCATTTCAGAGGTGATTCAGAGCAATACGTCAGGGGAAAGCTTGCTGTTCTTAAGTGCATGTCAATTGATTTGCTGTAACTTTTTTGTCTGTCTACTACTATCCCAAAGTAAGTGAAGCCAAACCATAGTAATTAACTATCTTTCATTAAGGGGAGGTTCCATTAAACTTCCCTAACTTCAGTAAAGGACACAGTCAAAACAGTTATAGCAGATCTGCTGTACTCTACAGTAGACCTCCCTTCCTCACTGTTTAAAATGGTATAATTATTCATCTAAGTCCTCTGGAAAGAATTTGGTCTCCTTTTGAGTACATGCAAATGTAAAATCAATAACATAAGTTACTTGAGTCACTTCTGTATCTAAGGCCCCTAGCAGACTTTACACTTAGGACATGATTAACCAGTTACTTAATCAAGTCTTAAGGAGTAACCCAGCCACATGTTCATGCAATTAACAGTAATAAAACAGGGAATATATGGAATAATTTGTAGCTGATTCTTACTGTGCCGTAAATTGAACATGTGACTGCTGCGCTCCTGCAGCTGGGAGTGCTGATCAGAAAATTGGTGTCCCAGCTGTAGGCATGCCAGGCACCTGCTTACTAACTTGCTGGTGCCAGGGAGAGCCTGGAATCATGAAATTAGGCATGCCACACCTACTGTGTGACATGTCAGGATGCGCAATTGATGGGAGGATTCAGTGACTTCAAAGGTGTTTTCCCAACTTTCACCTGCAAGGATTCTATTTTTTCTGTATTTAAAGCTTATACAACAGCACAGTCTCTTTGAGATACCTCTGAAAAGACTTGTTGGAAACATCTATGCTATTAGAATCATTCACATGAATTATATAATGCAGCTGTGGTTGCTGTAAGCTATTTTATTACTAAGAGTCATGAAGTCATAGAGAAGTAGGACTGGAAGGGACCTCCAGAGGTCATCTAGCCCAACCCCCTGCCTCAAGCAGGATCATCCCTATCCAAATCCCATCCAAGACTTGGATTCCTAAACATGGCTGTACTGCAGATGATGCTAATAGAATACACAGGGCATGAGAGGTGCAATCATGCCAGCAACCATGCTAGCTCCTGAATGGGAAGCAGCGTAACCATGTTTTTACAGTGCTGCACACAGGCCAGTTTTCTGTCTCTTAGCAGAGCTAATCGCTGTACTCAGTATTGGTGAGACTGTAGCTAGAGTACTGCATCCAGTACTGGGCGCCACACTTCAACAAGAACACACTAAAACTGAAGAGAGTCCACGGAAGGGCCACCCATATGATCAGAGACTTGCATGGCAAGCCATAAGGGGAAAGGCTGAGGGACCTGGGACTTTTCAGCCTGAAAAAGAGAAGGCTGATAGGGGACTTGATAGTAGCTTACCACTACATCAAGGGCTCAGTGAAAAACTGTTCACCAGGGCACCCTTGGGGAAAATCAGGAGTAATGGGCACAAACTCCTGGAAGACCATTTCAGGCTCTACATTAGAAAAAATTCTTCACAACTAGGGTTTCCAGACTGTGGAATAAACTCCCTCCAGAGGTGGTGCAATCGCCTACCCTGGAAATCTTCAAGAGGAGACTGAACAGTCACCTTGCTGGGGTCACCTGACTCCCAATTGTCTTTCCTGCCTGGTGCAGTGGTGCTAGACCTGATGATCCCCTAAGGTCCCTTCCAGCCTTGCAATCTATGAATAAGCCTGCTGGCAGTGCCATGACTACTGTATATTTCTTCCAGTCCAGGAGCTAACAAATATAGTGCTTCTAAAGCCACGGACAGACGTTAATAGATTTATAGACATTAGGGCTAGAAGGGACCTCACGAGATCATTGGGTCCAGCCCCCTGCCCAAGGGGCAGGGAGTCAGCTGGGGTCAGATCACTCCAGCAGGATAAGCATCCAAGCATCCAAGCATTTCTTAAAGGTATCCAGAGTCAAGAACAAGGCAAGATGGGATCTAATGCACAATCCCAACAATTGCCACACCTGCAGGTCAGGAGACAACTGTGGGATCAAGCATCAGATCCCATCACGCCATATTGCTGGCAGTCCTCCTGCACAGGCAATTTTCACCCCTGTGGCTGGAAGACCCCATGAGTTGATCACAGCTTCCAACCCCCAAAGCTCACCATGCACTCCTGCAGCTGAAAGCTCCAATTGCTGATGGGGCTCCCAGCCATGGGAGCACATGGTATGTCTTCACGGGTGAGAACGCCAATCAGGTAACAGTACTCCCAGCCTGGGCAGCACATAGCACGCCTCTGCAGCTGAGAGCTCTGATGGCTAGGAACCTCATCAGTGATTGGAGCTTTCAGTCACCAGGCAGGGATACACAGCTGGGAGCCCCAAACAGCTGACCAATGCTCCCAGCCTCTGGAGCACAGGGGAGGCTGGGAGCACCAGTCACACGGTCAATTAAAGGCATGATAGGAACCAACCACAAAGTTATTACATGTGTTTTGTGTAGTAACTTTTTTGCTTATTCCTGGTTTTATCTCACCGTTAATTGCATGAAAATGTAGCCAGGTCTCTACTTAAGATGTGAATAGCCAGGTAATCACATGCTAAGTATAACACGCATCAGAGACCTAAATATTGCAGTTCCTTGTGCCCTGTGAATTATTCCTACTGGGGTGAATAAAAGAATGGAGGGTGTATGTGCTCTTCTGGGAGGAGGAGCATGCATCCTATGGGGTGAGGCACCCAGAGGAAGCACGCTCTACAAAGTGTGGCTATACTGGGTGCAAATTTTTCACAGTCCAGCTCTATCCATAAGTATCTAAAAGCTGTCATGAATCATATCATGATTTTTTTACTGTCTTCTTTAATTTCTGCAAACATTTCCCACTCATGGTTTTACTTTCTAAAACCAGTTGCTAGTGGCTCTTGTGTGTGCCACACAATAATACAGGCTAATGGGAATTTAGTTGAAAAGATTATATTGGAAGAATAGCTATGACATTTTTAAACACAAAAAATAATTTAATACATGTCTGAGTATCATTTGGCTGCAGATAAAATGTTACTGATTTCAAGAATGCTATTTATGGCAGCAAGAACCTGATGACCTGCTTTAGAATTAAATCACTTTCAGAAGAGGTTGCTTTATCTTTGCAATACTGATATATTGCTGGGTCCGATTTGGGAATATAACTATTTTAGGATTCTAAATGTGGTGATTATTTGCATAAAATAAAAACTGAGGTTGTCCAAATCCATCTCTATAGGATTCTTCAGTAATTTTTAAAAGCCTTTTTATATGTTGAATTTCTTAGTTCACTTCTGATTGTACTGTACCTATCAATGCATCAACATTTCTATGAATACAGGCATTTCTTTCAGCATATACAGATCTTGCAGATATGAGTACATCTTTACAACAATTCTGTAATAATTGAACAGCATAGTAAACTGAATTTTACAGAAAAAAGCATCATGTAAAGGGATAAAACATGACACCTGCTTCTTTAGAAAAAACCTGTTCAATTAATGAGTAAAGGCGATATATACTATAATGACAGATTTGCACCCTATGCAGCCCTGAAGCTTTTACTGCTGTTGCATCGAGTGTCATTCAGGATTTCAGATGCCTAGAAACTGCTGGTACATGATCTAGAATCTAGAGTTACTACATAAGGCTAAAAACAGACTGCCAGTGGGCATGTCTACATATGCTAATAATTCAAAGTAGGCTTACTGTACAGTAAAAATACTATGCAGTAAGCCTACCTGGGAACATGTCTACACATGCTCCATTGGGAGCAGCCTGGTACAGGGCTTTTCCTGCCCTGCTCTGCCCCCTGCAGCAGGCAGAGAGAGCTCCAGGCTCCCCCTGGGTGCCAGCCTGGGGGCTGGCAGGGAGCACAGGGCCAGTCCCCATGCACACAGGGCCAGGAGAGCTCTGCCGGCTGCAGCAGCACCTGTCTCCTGACCCTGTACACATTGGGAGGGGTCCTGATGTGCACAGGGCTGGGAGACAGCTGCTGCTGCAGAGCTCTCCTGCCTTGTGTACATGGGGACAAGCCCTGTGCCCAGTGAGGCTTCCCCATGCAGCCTGGGGCTGGTCCCAATCAGTTCCAGGCTGCAAGGAGAGTGTGCCTAGAATGGGACAGTTCCCAGCCAGCCCTGGCTGGGAACTGTCACTGCTCAACTCAGCTCCCAGCTTCTGTGTGGAGCTGGGAGCTGAGCAGTACCAGGATGGGGGGAAGACCAGGGCAGAGAGCTACCCCATCCTAGTGTTGCTCAGCTCCCAGCTTCCAGCCAGGACTAGGGGAGTTCCCTGTCCCCTGTGGTCCCCTAGTGTAGGGGCTGACAGGGAGAAAAGTTGCTCTCAGCCAGAGTCTACACAGGCAGTACTGCACAACATCTACCGCATAGTTAGTTTACTACCTGTATTTATGGGTAGTAACTAACTGCCAAGTAGACTAATTTACTGTGTAATAAATGTGTGGACATGTAGACAGTGCCACCTTACTGCACAGTAGATTAGTCTACTGTGCAATAAAGAGTCTCAAGTAGACACACCAAGTTTATTCCAGGACAAAGACTTTATCCTGAGATCCTACAGACACAAACTCTCTTCCACATGAATGCTTTGCCACAGGACAATCAAGGCTAATTCAAGTCAATTGCTATTCAGACTGTGTGATTGTCCCAGGCCTGTTTTGATGGGAGTCAAAAGCCAGGACAAGAAGCCCTGGATTAAACAAATCATCTGTTTTTAGCCTAAGAGAGAACTGAGAGTGACAACTTTGACACCTTTGATCCTCAGCTTCAGTAATGAGTAGGCACCTATTTAATTCATGATTTCAACCATTTTTGTCTCGGTATCACAATGGGATGTGCTCATGAAGGCTGTTGGAAAATCACCAAGTTCTGCTTCTGCAAGTACAACTGCAAGTACAACTGATCAGCACTTCATAAGCGATGTTTTTACAGATTTGTTTGCTACTAAAATTGCTCTGACAATGTTTTGGTCAATGTATTTCAGTCTATAGCTCACTCATGTAGGGAATGCTGAGAATATTAGAATATTTGTTATTCCTCATTCAGTATTTGAGCCGTGTGATCAGATATCTGCAATGCACAGTATTGTTTCTATTCCCTAATCCGATAACTTGACATTTATCAAATACTTGTGTTTTTACCTGAGAAGAATTTCATTTCTTTATGATTTTATATTTAAACAATTCTTAACTGAAAATATGAAATTTACTCTCTCTGTGTATAACTATGCCAAAACCTTTTATGAAAAGCAAATAAAATGGAATGCCAACTTTTATTTAGAAGTTTCAGGTATGTTCATGAATACTTTTTATTACTGTCCATTCAAAGACCCCCTCAAAAAATAACTGTAGCACAAGAAATTTTAGTGCACTTACTTCTCTTTTTGGGAAGAGAAAATAAATAATAGGTGACCATGTTAGTCGTACTGCTTAATGCTACTCGAAGGAATTTGGTACCTTGATGAGTACCAAATATGATAAGAAATGATAAGAAATAAAGAACTATGGAGAATAGAAAAATATCTCTAGAAAAAGCAGACTATTGCTTTCTGTGCTCCCTTCCCTTGCTGTACATAGCAACAGGCTTCTTCCATAACCTCCTCTTAGTCCATGTGGCTAGGGGAAGACATTACACATGAAACGGTTTAAGTGATCAGAAGCTGGTTTAAACCTGTAACAGAACAGATGTTCAGTGCACACAGACCATTTTGAAAATGGCTGAAACTGGTTTGGGATAAACTTGGTTGAATGTAGTAGTATCAAACTTAACTGATTTGGGTCAAATCAGTTTATGCAATGTCTGTCCCAGACCCCTTCCTGGTTTATGTTAAATCAGAATCCTCCACCTGGGATCCTAGATGCTTTGCAACTCTGGGCAAGGCTCTGCTATTTGCTCTAGCCCCCCAGAGCTGGCCCCTCCCCTCTGCTCCCTGGCTGCAGCTCCAGCAGAGACTGCATGTATAGCAGAGTCTGCCTGGCTTCCTCCTGCTCCCCACCCTCTCCCTCACCACTCCCTGCTCAAGCAGGGATTTCCCCCTCCCCTCTGCCTTACACAGACATGGCTCAGCATTAGCTAGCATACCACATGCTGCCTAGAGTCTATGCTATGAGAGACAGGACAAAGGCAGACAGGACAGTATCCGGTTAGGGATTTTTGGAGCGAATCAGCAGGTAGCTGGTAATGTCCCTCCATTCCTTCCTTGGAAAAATAATTTAAGAAGAGCTTGAACTAATAGAGAGAGGCTTTTGTCTTCTTGATGGGCTGATAAACACTGAGTTAGGTGTTATAAACACTGTGCTATCAACTCCCTGCTGCACTTGTCAGGAGCAGGGAGAGAGGGGGAACCCCTCCCTAATCAGAGCATCCTGTGGAGGCCTGGCCACACCCTTCCCTCAGCTCAGTACTATGGAAGGGCAGGGAGGGCTGCTTTAGCTCCCCCCAGCATCTATCCTGAGCCACTGCCAGCATGTGCCTGCATTTCTTCAGTTCAGAGCACGTGTCTTTGCAGTTACAAACCAGTTTAGCCTAGCCAGGTTGCAAAGATTGAATCAACTCAGGCTTTTTGAATGTCTGTCCCTAGCCCATAAGAGGAGACTGCAAATCTAAGGTTGCAAATCTAATGGTGTATGAAACTTTACCTTATCTCATCCAGTGTCTACTACAAATGCTGGCAGAGAAAATATTTAGCCATGAAGCGCACATGATTCTGTGTACCAAGAAATTAATTCCCTTAATATCAGCGTGGCAGGTGTCAGCAGGTAACAGTGCTACATATATTTTTCCAAATTATTTTTCTTAAGGTAAAAGTAAATGTCCAGTCTTTAAATAATATGTTGTGCTATTGGGAGTTTCTATTTGGCAAAGTTCCATGTTGAGGCACTGGCTGCTTGACAAGAAGCTGTGGAAGCACAGGGCTGTGTGCCATTTATCTGGTCTCTGCTAAGAGTCAGTTCTTGAGGTAGTGATGCTCTCTGGAATATAGTAATTTGTGCTAGGCTAAGATTCCTACAGTAGAGACTGCTAAAATGCTCTTTTGGGATCCCTCTGTGTCAGGACAGAACAAATGTATAAATCAACTAAGTGAAAACCAGCAGGTCCTGACGATCTCCACCCCAGAGTGCTGAGGGAATTAGCAGAGGTCATTGCGGGACCCCTGGCACAGCTTTACGAGCACTCATGGTGCTCTGGCATGGTGCCAGAGGACTGGAAAAGGGCCAGTGTGGTTCCCATTTTCAAAAGAGGGAGGAAGGAGGACCCAGGAAACTATAGGCCAGTCAGTCTTACCTTGATCCTGGGTAAGCTTTTTGAGAGAATTATCCTGGCGCATGTCCACAAGGGCTCAGTCCTCGGGCCTGCACTATTCAACATTTTCATCAGCGACTTGGACGGGAGTGTAAAAAGCACCCTGTTCAAATTTGCAGACGACACTAAGATGTGGGGAGAAGTGGGCATGCTAGAAGGGAGGAATTGGCTGCAATCTGACCTAGACAGGTTACAGGGGTGGGCAGATGAGAACAGGATGGGTTTCAACACTGACAAGTGCAAGGTACTGCACCTGGGGAGGAAGAACCAGTAGCATACCTACAGGCTGGTGGAACTCCTTTCTCGTCAGTGCAGAGGCAGAAAAGGATCTTGGGAGTCATTATTGATGCCAAAATGAACATGGGCTGACAGTGTGGGGACGTGGTCAGGAAGGCCAACCGTACCTTGTCATGCATCCACAGATGCATCTCAAGTAGGTCCAAGAGGTGATCCTCCCCCTCTATGCGACACTGGTCAGGCTACAGTTGGAGTACTGCGTCCAGTTCTGGGCGCCGCAGTTCAGGAGGGATGTGGACAGCATTGAGAGGGTCCAGAGGAGGGCCACCCACATGATCAGGAGTCAGCAGGGCAGGTCCTACGAGGAGAGGCTACAGGACCTGAACCTGTTCAGCCTCCACAAGAGAAGGCTGAGGGGGGATCTAGTGGCTGTTTACAAACTAGTCAGGGGGGACCAGCAGGCATTGGGAGAGTCCCTGTTCCCCCGAGCACTCCCAGGAGTGACAAGAAATAACGGTCACAAGCTCGCAGAGGGTAGATTTAGGCTAGATATCAGGAGGCGCTACTTCACTGTCAGGGTGGCTAGGATCTGGAACCAACTTCCCAGAGAAGTGGTGCTGGCTCCTACCCTGGGGGGATTTAAGAGGAGGCTGGATGAACACCTTGCTGGGGTCGTTAAACCCCAGTACTCTTTCCTGCCATGACTTGATGATCTGCTCAGGTCCCTTCCAACCCTACCAACTATGAAAATGTATAAATCAAATAAGTGACACTTAGACTATACCCACACTCTGCACCCCTACTCTGCTCCCCTGGAAAGTGACATGCAAGAACTCAGACATCTGCCATTGGGGAGATGCTGATATTAGAATAGGAGGCTCTTTGTGAAAGAAGAGGCAAAAATATTTGCGTTCAACTTTTAAAAATAAGCTCTTACAACTCTCATATTAGCATGTCCTCTTGAATGAATGTTTGCAGTAAATATTTGATAACAGATTCACTCTAGAAATGAAAATTAGAGTTTAAACAAGTCCAAACTATTTTAGTACCATCACACTGCTATAATAAATGTTAATAATCAATTATTTTCACTTTGATAACACCATCCAATCAAGAATATCAAAAGGGTTAACCAATATTTGTTTCCACTTTACAGATAGGGAAACTGGAATACAGGAAGTTTAAGTCACTTTTCAAAGGTCACACTATGAGTCTATCCCAAAAACAGGATCAGAACCCAGTGCCAAGCTCTTATTTTGTATTTAAATAATAAACAGTTTTCTCAGAGGCCCTGGGGATAGGACTAACAACAATTTTGCTCTATTGTCAGATATGAACAGTCATTTGAAATCTGGTTCCATATTCAAGACCTTATAAATTAACAAAATGGCTCTTACTGCATGCCAGGTAGATCCAGCAGTGAGTTCAGATTTCTCCAGTAGAACAACATCTTTCATGCCAGCCTTGGCCAGATGGTAGGCTAGACTCACACCAACACAACCACCTCCGATGATCACTGTCTCTGCTGTATCTTTCCATCTTTCTCCCAAGGAAGAAGATGGCTTTTCTTTTCTAAGGGGAAAAAACACCATCACAAACAGGACACTTGATCTTTTCTCTGTTTTTTTGTACTATGTTTGTTATGGAACCTATAGCCTGGAGTCCTGCTTCGTGGCTGGGAGTCCGAGGTTCCAAGATAATACAAATAATAAATGAAAATAAATGGTCTTTTACATTCTCACCTGATTTTAATATGTAAAATATTAACTTCAAAGATCTGCCTTTAAAGCAATTGTCCTTAGAACTTCTTATCCATATTCAATAGTAAAAACCAGAAAAATTAAACTGTTTCCACTCGCAACTCTTGTCCAATATTAAATCTTGGACAAATGTATCTCTTCAAGTCAGTACCCTATTTCTCAGGTAGTAAAGGCTGACTTCACCACTGTAGTGACTGCTTCCAAATTTGTCTTTTCAAAATCACTACTGTATATATAAATAGCGTATTTTTTAGAACCACTGTTTTATACAAAAGTGTTTCAGATAGTAACGGCAATTTTGAAATGAAACCAGCTTGTGTGCAATGATAATGTACGCTTTTCTACACAGTTGTAAACAGTGGGTGCATTCAACAATGCTGTCATTGGTGTTCCCTGGTGCTATATAGTTTCCCACAGCACAGGCAGCCAGTTTGCTGTTACTTTCTGAAACCCCCGTGTATATGTTTTTTTTTTAAAAGCAAATATTGAAGGCAAGATATATTTTCAACAAGTGCTATGAACACCAGTTTACAAGGTTTAAATTAATGTCATGAAACTCAAGTTTATTTTGATATATTCTAATCTGCTGAAATTAAAAAGTTAAGGAGACCTTGCTAATATATGTTAAAGTAAGGCTTCTTCCAATGCCTTGTAGCTACCCTCGTTCTCCTCCAAGGCAGCCACTCTTGGCCAGTTTATGCTCTTAACTGCTACTTTCCTCCAGTTTTAAACCCAGCTTGTCTTCATGCCGCTTATCCCCTTCCCACATGCTGTGGCCACCAACTTTTATCTTTGGGGCCCACTGAAGTGCTTTTCTTTCATTTTGCCTTCCTTTCCCTTCCTCCATCAAACCTTCTTCACTGTAGCTAGCTAATCTGCACATACCAGGAGCCTGCCCTGTATCTCTTCCTCCTAAACCCCAGTCAGCCTATCCTAATTTATGGAAGTTTGGGATATATAAGAAATAAAGCAATAACAATGTAACTGTAAGTAGGAGAGGGAGATGAAGAATGATTATTCAGTCATCAAATGAGTTCAAAGGAGGCCACAGATTCTCTTCAGCCAGTCCTGCTCATGCATACATGAATTCTACTTTTGAGATTATACATTTTCTGAGTTAAGATTGCGATGCTGAGTAAAGGTTTGTTGGATATTTGTGCTGTCTTTGTGAAACAAAGGTAAATCAAATGCAGAATTTATTTTTTTCACATTCCCTTTGATGAAATCAAACCTGGCTGGCACACCTTTTCTCAAACAGATTACCAGGGCCCATTGATGCGCCTTTCCTGTGTATTTATCTTGTTTGTTGACAATACAGTTAAAGCAGTAGTCAGTTTGCCATGTACATATTAACTAAATGAGAGATGGATAGCATAAGCTTTCATAAACTGTGGGTTTACTTCATCACTCAGAGCAGTGGTGCTTAACCTTTTGGCCTCATAGGCCAAAAACGTGGCACAGGGACCAGGCCGAATCAGACCCTGAGGGCCAGGATTGGGCCCCAGGGTGCCATGACACCTCCACCATGCCCTATGTGCTAGGATTGGACTCTGGGGCCCTGCACTGCCTCCACCTGTTCCTGCATGCTGGCCCAGGGCCTCACAGTGCTCTGTGCAGCCCTGTGCGCTGGAACTGGGGTCCCCATGCCCTGCACACATGATCTAGTACACTGGGCTGTATCTGGCCTGTGGGCTGGGGGTTGAGTAGCTCTGACTTAGAGCAGTAGTTTTCAACTTTAGGATTGAGACACCCCTCACTACACTCAAAAAAAATTCCCGCTCTTCATTTTCACTTATTTTTTTGACTACAGAAAAATAATAGAGCAATTTTTCTGCTGCAAAGAACTGAGAAAATCCACAATAGGGCAGAATGCTTTTAACACTATGGATTCCTATTCACAACTTCTGGGTTTATCTTATGAATCATGTTTGTACACCTAACAGTGTGTGTTACCCTTGAAGGGATCTCAAGGAACACCAGGGTGCTGCAACACCCTAGTAGAGAATCACTGCCTTAGAGCATAATAGAAATTATGGACAGAAGAGATCAAGACCAGACCATCCAGTCATCTGTCCCTACTGAGAAACATGGTGTTTTTGCTCTGCTCATTGATGGAAAACTTTGGATCTATGTACAGCAAAGACCTTCCACATGGAAGCTCTTTCACCTGCCTTCACCTAAAAATCTTCTGCCTTGTGACACTACACCCAAAATAGCAAGGCAGGACAGAAAGAGACCCCAGGACATGCAGTTCATTGCCCAGCATGGAGGCAGGATCAGTGTACCCAGACCAGTGGCTGTCAACCTTTATAGACTCAAAAAATGCCAGGTCTTTGTTTTCATTTGTTTTTATGACTGTGGTCAACAAAGGGAACATAAGAGCAGTTTTTCTGCTGCAAGGAACTGAGACGGCAGAATGTACCAGACACCACGGATTCCTTCTTGAATCTCTGGGCTTTTCTTGCAGATCTGGGGTGGGCGCACCAGTGCACTTGCACCCCCCTTTGATTCCTGCTCCACCCAAAGTTTAAAATCAATGGCCTGCCAGTGGCAGCAGCATCTCTAGTCAGCCACTGCTGCAGGAGTCACTTGACTGCATGACTCATTATCATCTACCTGATCCCTTCTAAACTCTTCATTCCATTATTAACGGTCCTCCCTTCTTTTTAATGGTCTTGGTGTTCCTCCCATCAAAGCTGCCTTTGCTCTGCAACTCGGCACTCTGTGGGTTGCTCCTGGCCAGGATGCTCCTATGCCGCAGCTCTGCAGATTCTGTAACTCATTCCAGTGAAGTGACACTGCTGCTTGCTTCCCTCTTGAACTGCGGCCCTAGGCCCCCAGCCTGTTAGCACAGCTTCTAGTTTATTTTTAACTGGGGAAAAATAGGAGTTCTTGTGTGATGCCCCTCGGACCCCCCGCCCCCGTTTCCAGCACCCAGGGCCCCCCGCGGCTGCACCCCTGCCAGCGCCGCTTTGTGCAGAACCGGGGGGCACCCTTGGCAGGATCTCAAGGCACCCCCGGGGGCCAAGGCACTTGGTTGAGAAGCACTAGTGGTGCTCCACCGTCTTCTCCAGCTGCCGGATGGGCAGTGCCCGTGGGCTCCAGGCCATAGCCCGATCCAGGTGCGTGGGGGCCCCACTCAGCACGTGCGGGGAGCGGCCGTGACCCGACTCTAGCCCGGCC